CTCGGTGGGGCTATGTGGTCTGGAGGAAGGTCTGAGCAGGGGTGTGGGGAGGAGGGACAGGCAGGGCAAAGGCAGGTGGGGAGAGTCCTGTCCCGTAAGGCAGTGCTGGAAGTTTCTTACCAGCCACCCCCTGTCTGCCCTCTGCAGTCAGCGCCTACACAAACGCCTTCGCCATCACTCAGTTCTTCGGAGTGCTGTGTGCCCCCTGGAACGGCCTGCTCATGGACCGGCTCAAGCAGAAGTACCAGAAGGAAGCGAAAAGCACAGGTGAGGCCTGGAGAACCCGGAAGAGGAGGAGTCTTCATGCGCAGCCAGAGTCCCCTTCTCTTTTGTTCTTAATCCTTCTCTGCTTGCATCCATCCGTATTCGTCCATCCACTGGTCACGGAGTGTGAATTATGTGCCAGCCATACTTCCAGATTCCACAGCGGACGGGACAGGGACTCAAGCTGTTCTCAAGCTGTTCTCCGCGGAGAGAATGGAGAAGGGCAGGCGATCAGGCGTTGCCGTCCATGCAGTCAGCTCCCGGGGTGGGGGCGATGGGGACACACAGGCACAAAGCCTGTGCTGGGTGAGGTTGCGGATGATGTCAGGGAAGGCTTCCTGGAGGAAGTGGCTTCTGAGCTGAGGCCTGAAGGATGAGCAAGAAGTGAGGAGAGGAAGAGGAGGGCCCTGGGAGAGCAGCCCAGGAATACGCTGAGGTCAGGAAGGTGAAGGAGCTAGCAAAATAGTGGGGGAATCTGGGGAATCCCAGAGGGGATGTCCGGCTGACCCAGGGCACAGAGAAGGTGCTGAAGGGGGAGAGGTAACAAGGGGCAGGCGGTGCTGAGCCAAGGAGCGTGGATGAGACCCTTGGATTCCGAGACCAGAGGAACAGGGGGCCTCTGAGGTACCCTCTTCCCCCGCACTGTGCCTCCTACCCCTGCTGGTGTGTTTTGAGATAGATCTCAGGCATCAGATCCTTTCCTCTGTAAATACTTCAGTCTGGGTCTCTAAAAACAAGGCCCTTTTTATGTAAACGGTACCGTCATGTCATGGTCACGTACAAAACCCAATAATTTCTTAATACCATCTAACATGCAGTCCCGTTCAGATTTCCCAAATTGCCTCAGATATGCCTTTTTTTTACAGTTGGTTCGTTCAAATTAGGATGCACACGGGGTCTGCGCTGTGTATTTGGTTGATGAGCCTTCCGTATCTTTTTACATTTGTATGTCCCCTCCCCTCCCCCCACCTTTTGTTTCTTCTTGTTGTTTATTTGTTGAAGAAACTGGGTCATTTGCTCTGTCAGATTTCCCCCAGATTGGATTTGGCATCCTTTGGTATCATTTAAAAATGTTTCTTTGATTGGGTATTTCCTGTAAACAGGCAGATTGGAGGCTTGAGGAGACGCAGTTTAATATTTTTTTGGGAGCATGCTTCGGAGGTGGAGCCTCGGGCTTCCTCTGGTTCCTATCAGCCCCTGGTACTCGCTGTGTCTGTTCTTACGATGTTAGGATTGATCAGTGGGTCCAGACATTGCCAGTCTGATGCACCCATTACCGAGTTTCCCATCAGCCTTTTGGCTAATGATTTTAGTAGCTCCTGGCGATCACTGCCGGGATCCATTATCTTATTAGGATTGCAAAATGGAGATTTTCTATTTCTGTCTTTCCTTCTGCTTTTACTTGCTAGAGTTCCTCCCGAAAGAAAAGCTTTCCCTCATTGGTGGCTTTGCATCCTGAAATAAGTGCTTGGCTTTTCCTCTGTTTACCAGTTTCAGAGTACTGACTTGGTGCCCTAGCAACCTCCAGAGGTGATGAGCTGTCACTTCTCCGTTGTTTCGTTCGTTACTTTATTTCTTAACGTCATTTCTCTTTTAAAGTCTCATTTTAAATATATTTGACAGGGGCGCCGGGGTGGCTCAGTCGGGTAAGCGTCCGACTCTGGCTCAGGTCATGATCTCACAGCTGCTGAGTTCGAGCCCCGCATCGGGTTCTGTGCTGACACTGCGGAGCCTGCTTGGGATTCTCTGTCTGCCTCTCTCCCTGCCCCTCCCCTGCTCCTACTCCGCCTCTCTCCCTCTCTCAAAAACAAATAAACATTAGAAAAAAAAGACCAATTTAAATATATTTGACACGTTTCCATCCATGTCTGTCACGATTCTTCTTTATGCTCGAATCGGTCCATCTTCTTTGGCCACTGGGAACCACCAGGTCAGAGTCTGTGTCCTTTCACACAGCCCCAGTGGGTTTAGAGACTGTCTTACTCCCTAACACAGAGACATGTTCAGATCCGTGTCCCGGGGTAAGTTTCCTGCCCCGGACCTGAAGCAGTCATTTCCCCAAGTAGTCCTGGGTCCCTTTAAGTGGGAAATGGTATTTAAAGACTGCAGTCTGGATGCTAGAACTTCCGGTTCTCCTGGGTTGTCTGTGCTTCGAGGCCTTGGAGAGAGGTAACATTTTAATTCCAAGTTTACTTTCTTGGGGCACCTGGGTGGCTCAGTCGGTTGAGCGTCTGACTCTTGATTTCGGCTCAGGCCACAATCTCACCATTTGTTAGATTGAACCCTGCATCCGGCTCTGTTCTGATTTCTAATTTCTTGGGAGAAATGAGAATTTCTAAATTCTTGGGAGAATCTTTGGGATTCTCCTCCGCTTGCACTCTTGTGCTCTCTCTCTGTCTCTGTCTCAAAATAAATAAGTAAACATTAAAAAAAAAACCCCAAGAAACAAAGTTTACTTTCTTGACTTTATATGTGTCTATTTTCTCTTCCTCTGAAAATCGTAGTTCCTAAATAATGCTATTTACGTATACTGTATACACTTTCTCTATATGCTGTGCACTGTATACATATACACATGTATAGTATTTTAAAAATATAACTTATACATAATGCCTGGCTTCGCAATATCAGTACTATTAATAATGATTGCTGAGTACTGTTGCCCTCCCTTCCTTCCTTCCTTCCTTCCTTCCTTCCTTCCTTCCTTCCTTCCTTCCTTCCTTCTCCTTAAGATATATCCCAAAGAGATGTACAGTCAAATTACTGTGTTTTAAGAGTCACCATCTTGACGTATATACATGTCCATTGGTTTCTGAGTTTTTGCGATTGCTTTGTTTTCCTCCTATTCTTTTAATTTAATTTAATTTTTTTTAAAGCTGATTTATTTTGGGAGAGAGAAAGAGAGTGCAAGCAGGGGAGGGGCAGAGAGAGAGGGGGAGAGAGAATCCCAAGCAGGCTCCGAGCTGTCAGCCCAGAGCCTGACACGGGGCCTGAACTCACGAACTGCGAGATCATGACCTGAGCCGAAATCAGGAGTTGGATGCTTAACCCACTGAGCCACCCAGGCACACCTAATTGTATTTTTAGTCATTTACTAGCAGACAGTTCTATTTTTCCAAGCTGTGAAACAATATATTTGAAGAAGTTTCGTTTCCCTTCCTGTTCCCTGGATCCCCATTCATTCCCTCTTTCTTTAGGTAATTATTTTTATGGCTTTTTAAAGAAATGCAGAAGATATATATCTAGTCTGCATTCTCTGAAGTATTATTGTGCCATTGCAGATGATTACAGGATATCGTAACGCACACCCACATTATATTTTGTCTCACCCTCTCTTGGGTGAAGGCGCCCACCGCATGCCGTGGCCTGTAGCTCTCTCCCTCCCGAGGGGGCTCCGGGACACGGCCTCCTCTGGCCCCGTCAGCTGCTGCCCATCCGTCCTGTGGCTGCGGCACTGATGTTGCCATCGCACGAGAGCCACACGGAACAGCTGGCTGTGGCTTGGAGGGGGCAGAGCACGTGACCCACGGACCAGGCGGAGTCAGTGGGGGTAGAGAGCAGTGGGTGCACTTGAATGGCAACTGGGGGATGGATTGGAGATGAGCATGTGGGAGGAAGAGGTTTCTGCCCGGACGGCTGGCGGGCCGGGGACGGTGGCTCGACTTCCTCTCGCGTCTTTGTGTCCCTTCCCCATCCTCCACCGTGCTCGCCTCCATGTGCAACCTCTTTTTCCTTTGGACCAGGGTCCTCGGCCATGACGGTGGCCCTCCGCTCGGCGGTGCCTTCTCTGGCTCTGACGTCTCTGCTGTGCCTGGGCTTTGCCCTCTGTGCCTCGGTCCCCATCCTGCCCCTCCAGTATGTCACTTTCATCCTGCAAGTGATCAGCCGCTCCTTCCTCTACGGGGGCAACGCAGCCTTCCTCACCCTCGCGTAAGTGGGCTTGGGGTGCGTAACACCACCGGGGACGTGCGGGCGCAAAGGGAAGTGTGCTGGATGGACCTGGGGCTGGTCCAGTGAGGGAGGCAGGGTCTGGGAGCCGGTGTAGAGGGTGGCGTAGTGGGAGAAGCTGGTGGGAGGGATAGAACATTCACGAACTGGAGCCTTCATATCAGCTCTCCTCTCTGCCTCTCTTATCTACCTGTACACCCTCCAAGGCCCGCTTCCGGTTCAACTGTCCCAGAGTCAGAAAGAGAATGTCTTCCTTCTTTGTGCCCTTGGCACTCTGGTCCTGCTTCCTCTGAGAGTGCACCCATCACCCAGCAAATACTGACCTGTTCATGTGTCTGTCTTTTCCTTGAGACCTCTGTGGGCACAGCCTGTGTCTGGGTCCCTGCTGTTTCCCCGGGGGCCCCGCACAATACCTCCTCTGTGTTCTGTGTTTGAGCAAAGGTGAGGGGGGAAGAGCTGTGTGGGTGTTGGGTGTGGGTGAGTGAAGCCAGGCCTAGGACTGGGGGACTTGGGAGAAGTGGCCTCCACAGACCCACCACGGCCAGGCCCCTCCTTGGAAAGAGGGCTCCTGGAGCTCACGGGAACCCTGTTTGTCTCTCTCCCCAGTTTCCCTGCGGAGCACTTCGGGAAGCTCTTTGGGCTGGTGATGGCCTTGTCAGCCATTGTGTCTCTGCTCCAGTTCCCCATTTTCACCTTCATCAAAGGCCCCCTCCAGAACGACCCGCTCTACGTGAGTACTGTGGGGAGGGGCGTGGCCCTGGCCTTAGGCCAGCAAGGACATCTAGATTGGGGTGCCTCAGCGGGGCCCCCGCAGGGGGTGCCCCACATCTGGCTGAGATGGTTCCTTTAGGAATGTTTGTGCACATGGGGGCATCCTTGGTCTTATTTCTCAAACTGGGGTAGCAGGGGACCCCTGCCACAAGGCAGGGGTACCTGAGACCACAAGACTCACCTGCGGGGTTGCCAAGAGATTTGGGGAGAATATAGTCTTTGTGTGTGTGGAAACAAGCAGACGTACTCTGGCAGAGAATGTAAAGTGCTCACAACATTTCAAATGAAAACCGACGACTTGAAAGACATTTCCTGCTTGCGGTGCCCTGGCCTCGGCCCTGGGACTACAACACGCATCGGCTTCCACGGTTATTCCAAGGGCTGGGAGCTCTGTACCCTCACCCCTGCGTCCCCACACTGGAGGGGTACTCATAGGCCCAGCCCTGCTGGTGTGGTGGTTCACCTCTCTGCAGATTGAAGACATCAGTTCAGGGATTTGGGTTCCGTGACTTAGACATTCAGAAGCACAAAGCCAAGGAGCAGAAATCGTTTGACTTTGAATTTCATATTCCGACCACCGCACAGCTCTGTTAGCCTCATTTAAAAAAGGGTAGCAAGGGGCTCCTGGGTGGCTCAGTTGGTTGAGAGACCGACTTCGGCTCAGGTCGTGATCTCATGGTTTGTGAGTTCGAGCCCTGCGTCGGGCACTGTGCTGACAGCTCAGAGCCTGGAGCCTGCTTCTGATTCTGTGTTTCCCTCTCTCTCTGCCCCTCTCTCACTCATGCTCTGTCTCTCTCTGTCTCAGAAATAAATAAAAATTAAAAAAAAAAAAAAAGGGTAGCAAAGTGTAGAGCAGAAGTGTAAGTCAGTCATTGGGAGAAAAAAAAAAAAAGGGACTGAACTTCAGAACTGAGGAGAGTGCCTCGATTGTGACCTCCAGCGAGTCTGACCGTATTCAGAAGACGTGTGTTCCAGCCACTGTCCCCGACTTCCCATGTGACCTTGAGCAGGTCGTTGAGCGCTCTCAAGACCTCTGTTTCTTCATCTGAAATGGGCACGATATCCCTCCCTGACTCTGCTCTTCTGGGCAGAGAGGAAAAAGAAGTCTTCCCCCCCCCCCCCCCCCCCCCCCCCCCCGGGCACTGTAGTGTCTCAGGAGAAAGTCGAGGCTGTTCCTTTGTTGGTGGAGGCTGCTGCTCAGAGTTCTGGACCTCACTCCTCCCCTCTCTCCCCGCCAGGTGAACGTGATGCTGGTGCTGGCCACTGTCTTGACGTTTGTCCACCCCTTTATGGTGTACTGGGAGTGCCGGCGGGAACGGAAGTCCCCCGTGACTGCCTAGCTCCGAAGCTCTTGCTTTTCACGCTGAGGACGCTTTGCTAATCTTTCCCCACCTTGGAGGACCCCGTGTCCAGGCGCGCTCTGCCTGCCCAGGCTACCGGTATTAATTGGCCATTGCTGTTTCTTTAAAAAAATAAAAGACGTTTCACGGCCAGCTGACACCCGGATTAACAAGAGAAGAGGCCCCGTTGCCCCGCTGATTGCTGTCAGACGGACCCAGAGCAAAGGCCCATGGAAGTTCTTAGTTTCGGAGCAGGAAGCACATGACCTTGGTAGACACCCGGTCTAAGGGGAGGTGATGTGATGGGGAGGAGGTTTGTCACCTACTTGTTCGGACCTCTTTGGCTGTGAGGCCTCTGTGTGTTGAGCCCTTTGTGCCAGGTAAGCTTCCAGGTGAAGAGTACGGTTGTCGTGACCTTGGCGACAGGGCCCGGCCCTTGGAGGGGGCTCCCTCTATTATTTACGTTGGGCATAACAGAAAACATTTCTCTGGGGAGTAATCTTATAGAAAAATAAAATCTCTCTGCCCGAGGCAACTACTGGAGTGGCTCTCACGGCTTTGGGCTGCTGTGTGCCTGTGTGCACGTGTGTGTGCATGTGTGTGCTTGCTTGTGCTTCCCCTGGGGGGGGTGCTCCAGCCTGGGGAGTGGCCGCGGGAGTGGGGCAGAGGAACCTGGGTGCAGCATCCCCAGTGTAGCAGCTGGACCCGGAGGTGGAACCTCAGACCGGGACCCACTCTCCTGGTCCTGGGACATGGGCCTGATGCTTCCTTCCTTTGCCTCCTCTTCCTCCCCACCCTCCCCCAACACTCCACACCCCCAGCTGAGAGCCCTAGATGGAATCAGAAGGTCCCTGTGAGTCTCAGTTCCGGCACTCAGCCGCCGGGCAGGTCCCGTAACCACCGTGAGTCACAATTTCCTCACCTGCAAAGTGTAGTTAATCATTTCTATCCCCGAGAGCTGTTGTGAGAATTTAAAGTAATTGCTGCTAAAAAAAAAAAAAAAGAAGAAGAAAAAGTAAAGTAATTGCTGCTGCCTAGCACATGGCAGGAGGACATAAGCATTTTATTCCTTTATTTACTCATGACCAGAAAGGAGAGGGGTAGCCAGGGGGGAGAAGGTGAAGGGCTGGGAGGGAGAGAGGGTAGGTGGGTGAGATGGAGAATTTGGAACACGCAAGCAGAGGCACTAGGAGAGGATGGTGAGGGGGAGAGGCTGTCAGGCAGACTGATTTGTTCATTCATTCATTCATTCATTCAACTACTGTTTATTGAGCTGCTACAGGGCATCAGGCACTGTCCTAGGTTCTGGAGGCACGAAGATGCCCAAGAGTCTGAAGCCAGCTCTTCTGTGAAACTGCAGGAGAATTTCCAGGGGCCTGGGAACCTGGGTCTGAAAACAGACAGCAGAGAAAACAGACAGCTAATGGAAGGCTTTTACTTTGTTATCTTGCTCAGAACTTTCAGTGGCTTCCTGCTGCCCACAGGACACAGCTCGGACTCCAGCCTGGCACACAGGCTCCCCCAGTGTGATTCCGACTTCTCCCCGTACTCTTCACCTCTCACCTTTAGGAGGACAGGACACATCCCCGTGGACCAAGCTTCCTGGTCTCTGGGTCTGGGAGCACATCAGCTCCTCTGCACAGGCTTGCCTTGTCTCTGCTGCCTGGACAGTCTGCCTGGTCCCCTCGGGTTCTGCTCAAAAATATCCTCTCCGCTGGGGGTGCCTGGGTGGCTCAGTCAGTTGGGCGTCTGACTTCGGCTCAGATTATGATCTCACAGCTCGTGAGTTTGAGCCCTGCTTCGGGCTCCGTCTGACAGCTCAGAGTCTGGAGCCTGCTTTGGATTCTGTGTCTCCCTCTCTCTCTGCCCCTCCGCTGCTCGCACTCTCTCTGTCTCTCTCTCAAAAATAAATAAACATTAAAAAATATATTAAAAACATCACCTCCTCTAAAAGTCTTTCCTCGGGGTATCTAGCAGCAATGAGTTCCCAGTACTCGGTACCCTTCCTGGTGATCAGCACCTATCTCCTTGCATGACAGCGTCTCATCACCCAGGCAGTGGCCCCCATGGGGTGGCCTCTGGATGTCACCTGGCTCGTTGACTCATGCGTGCTGGCCACCCAGTTAGGGTGAATGAGAGGATTCTTTTTCTGGCCTCACAGCCAACTGGAAGGCGAGAGCAGAGCACATGGGGGTGGGGACAGCATGGGGCAATGGGAAGAGCATGGACCTGGGGCCTGGACCAGCCCATCTTTGATTCTTGCTGTGTCACTAGTGGGACCTCGGATGGGCCACTTCACCCCTACATCTCCGTTTCTTTATCTGTAGGATGGGCGAAATAGCCCATCTCCCTGAGCAGTTGCAAGGATTAGAAATGAGGTCAAATGCCTTGCGTAGGGCAGGTGCTCCATGATCACGGCTATCATTAATGGTAATATATTAAATTCAGAAAGGATGCCTGGTGTCCGTCACTGGTGAATGCACAAATACGATGTGGCATATGTGGGGCACCTGGGTGGCTCAGTCAGTTAAGCATCTGCCTTTGGCTCAGGTCATGAGTTCACGGTTCGAGAGTTTAAGCCCCGCGTCGGGCTCTGTGCTGACCGCTCAGAGCCTGGACCCTGCTTTGGATTCTGTGTCTCCCTCTCTCTCTGCCCCTCCCCTGCTCTCTCTCTCTCAAAAATAAATAAACATTAAAAAAATTTTTTTTAATGTGGTATATGCATACAATGGAATATTGCTTGTCAATAAAAGAGAATGAAGCCAATGTATGCTGCAACCTTGAAAACATTGTGGCAATGAAAACGTCAGTCACAGGAGACTGAATAGAGCATGACTCCATTCATATGTGACATGTCCAAGAATAGGCAAATTTATACAGGCAGGAAGTGGACTGGTGATTGCCTAGGGCTGGGGCAAGAGGTAGTGACTGCTAATGGCTGAGGGCTTTCTTTCTAGGGAGATGACAGCTTTCCAAAATTGATAGCGGTGATGATTATACACCTCAGAATATACGAAATGCCACTGAATTGTACACTTTATATTTTTAATTGTTTTTAAGTTTACTTATTTTTGACAGAGACAGAGTGTGAGCATGAGCTGGGAAGGGACAGAGAGAGAGGGAGACACAGAATCTGAAGCAGGCTCCAGGCTCCAAGCTATCAGCACAGAGCCCGACGCTGGGCTCGAACTCACGAACCGTGAGACCGTGACCTGGGCCGAAGTCGGACGCTCAGCTGACTGAGCCACCCGGGTGCCCCTGAATTATACACTTTAAACGGGCGAATCACATGGTATGTGCACTATATCTCAATAGAGCTGTTATTAAAAAAAAAAAAGTATCTGGATGGCCAGGAAGTGGAGAGAACACTTCTTTCCAGAGAGAGTAGAGATGATTTCTGGGGACGATGAGTAAGCTAAGAGAAGCAGCCCATGGGCGCAGACTCCTATTTCTGTCACGAGGGCCCTCTTCCTGCAACTTCCTCCTCACACGGACCCAACGGCTCTTTCAAACAAAGTGAGCAACTCAGGGGTTTCACAAGTTTTGATTTTGCTCAGCGACAGGCTCCCAGTGCAACCTGTGGGGCCTCCAGCCTCGGGGGAGAGGGGCGGGGGCAAATCCGTCCTCACCACCCTTAGGTCAGGTCGCGTGTGCCTGGGGCAGAGAACACCCGCTGTGTAAGGAACGGCCCACGGCCTCAGGAAGAGTGTGACCATGTCAGTCCCCTTCCATCGGCCCCATCTGACAAATGAAGAACCAGGTACGTCAGGCTCCGCGTGGTGTCATGTCCCAGCTCATTCAGACGGGCACGCGGCACGTTGTGGCGTGGGTATTTCAATCCAGACCTGACTCCTAAGGTCATGTGCATTTTAGACGTTGCCTTTTCTTTGCATTCGCTCTTACGTAGGAAACATACGGTGGTTGTGAAACCGGTCGGAGTACAAAGGGCGTGAGAAAGGGGTATCCTTGTTAATTGCACCCCTTAGAAATGGCCATGGTTAACCTGCCGGCATGTTTTCTCCCCGGCATGTGACTGTGTATGTGCGATCACTAAAATAAGCTCTTCTTTGCCATCAAATAGTTGTCAAAAATGTCAGCCCCACCTTAGTTACCCCCCCCACCCTGTTCTGGGGTGTCCCCTCAGGCACATCTTGGTATGTTGTACCCCACTCTCTTTCTGTCCCCCTCTGCAGCCTGAGCGAGGGCGTCCCAGATGATGGTGAGCCACGATAGCAGCCTAGGTCAGCAGATGGAGAAGTAGGTAATAATAGAACCAAAAGAGCCACCTTGGGACTTTCTAAGGAGTGAGATCGCGTCCATTAATCATTGTCCCTTGACCCGGTGCCAACTCTTCCCCAGCTAAAGGCGTTGGCCGCCGGTGGACCCTCTCCTCTGAGTTCGAAGCTTGGAGCGGTGAGCCCAGCGGTTATTCCCGGAGAGCCTTTTCCTGCCAGCCCCCAAGGGAGAGATGATTCCTAAATGCACTGGGTGTGACACTGGGGGACAGAGTCCTTCCTCAAACACCTGTGGGAGGACACCTGCATCTGGGTTTCGAGGCACAGGCTTCAGGCTTCGTTGGGCGATGAGGAGTTCCAAAGGGGGGGGGACACGTCTGGTTGCTCCTGGACACGCTGCTGCCTGAGTCGCACTGGCCACCAGGAGTCACTGCAGGGCTGGCTGCGCACGGTGATTAAACCCAGGATGGAAGCTTTTAGTGACACCAGCCCATCGCCCTGGCTTAGATTTTTTTCCCTAACTCCAAACATGTGCTCCTGGGCCCCTCAGTGATCTGTTTCCTGGGTCCAGGGGCCCTCCCGGGTCCCAGGTGGACTCATGTAGGAGGCATATGGGAAAGGCTCTGGGCCTTCCAGGCACTGGCCAGCCCTGTGACCTTGAAGAGGCCCTAAATCACGGGTACCCTCGGTTCCTCACCTGTGGCGGAGATGATAAGTACTGGGGGGCTTGTGGGGGGAACTGGGGGGGCCACAAGGAATAAACAGCAAAGGCAGCTTGAGCTCTGCTGTTTGGACTGTCCACAACCAGCTTCCAGCTTCTCCCCACACAAGCTCTGGGACTTAGACTCATGAAGCCTTTGTTTCTTCATCTGAAAAATGGGGTAACAGTAGGAATACATCCTGGGGTCGTAAGGATTATGTGAGTTCATGAATGCAACCCTCCCCCGGCATGAAGCAGGTTGCCGTGCTGGCTGCAGGGGTGATGGCTGCGGGGGTCGTCAGTAACACCTGTGGTTGCTGGTGGGGGTGGGGAGCGGGGAGGGCAGAATGACGAGTGTCCACAATTTATTCCCGGTGGGGTCCGCATGTCACTGCCTTTGTTCGGGATGAAAACACCTTGCAAGCGTCTGCCCCAGCTTGTTTCTGCCTAACAAAGCAACACCGATTCCCTTGTATTGTGTAGAAGGGGAAAACTTCAAAGACAAAACAGTGACTTTCTAATCACCTTAAATCTTAAGCCAGAGTCCATGAAAAATATCAGTCT